AGCCTGACCTAGTGATCTCGGGACGGAGAGGTTGTGCTACCCTTTGTAGGACCTCTCTGACTGCTCAGCAAACTGAGTCCCAGAACGTCCACCATAAATCCATGCTGTCTCATCTCATCGAGGACCTCATGGCTGCTCCACGATTCTGATATACATGCTTGGTTAATTTTCCATCTCATTCTCCCAGTGGCTTTCTTTAATTATTTACAGCCTCTGTGAGACCATAACCCTGTGCCTTCCTGCCTTCCCTTTAGTTACCTGTTGTCTGTTATATCAGGGAAGATAGTAAGACACCCCTAGGCCCAGGGGCTGAACCTTCCCTGCCCCCACCTCCTTTCCATCTTCACCTGCCGTTTCTCCTCTGCCTCTTGCTCACGGGAAATGGTGTCTGTTTCCCTCCTGGATACCCTTGCACTTGTCCAAAGATATTCCTCTACCATTTTTTCTTTCCCCACACTCTCCTGACTTCTCAAGAAACTTCATTTAACAATGGGTCATTCTCTTGCCTGATTATTTCTGTAAGTGTCTCCCTCTCTGTGGCACCTTCACTTCTGCTTATGAACACAGTCAGCTTTTACTGTTAAAAAAAAATGAAATGAAAGTGAAAACTAAAATTTTCTCTAGTCCACCATCCTTTCATTGCTGTGCTATACTTCTCAAAAAGAGTGGTTATATCTCCTCACTTGTTTACTTGAGCACTAATTTCTTGTAACTGCTTACTACCTTTCAACATGGCTTCTGCCCAACATGTGTTCTAATCATTTTTTAGCTTAAGAAAGTGAATTCTAAGAATGGACATCAAAGCACAACCATACGAAATCTATGGGATGCAGCAAAAGCAGTTCTTAGAGGGAAGTTCATAGCAATACAGGCCTTCTTCAAAAAACAAGATAAATCTCAACTAACCTAACCTACCACCTAAAATAATTAGAAAAAGAACAAAAAAACCCTAAAGTCAGCAGAAGGTAGGACATCATAAAGATCAGAGAGGAAATAAATAAAATAAAGGTTAAAAAAATAGAAAAATATCAATAAAACCAAACTGGTTCTTTGAAAGGCGAAGAATGGGCGCCAAACTCTGAAGCATGATGACTGGTTTTGAGTAAAGATTAACATCTAGGTTAAACCATTACAAACACAGCAGTGTCCATTAGTACTGTGTTTAAAGCTTATTTAGTTAGAGAGGAGGATGGAAGAAAATGTAGGTAGGGAAATGAGGGGATAGAGAAAGGGGAAAAAATGGCATGGATTATGGGAAAAGAGTTGCAATGCTGTCTGAAGGTTACAGGGATGACTGCCTTGAAGAGTCCCATGTTGTAGATGTGCTTCGATGCCAAAGCTAGTAGTCATGGAAACCAAGCAAGGCCCTCGGGGATCCTGACACTCTCTGCAGGCTGTCTCCCATCTCCTCCCAAGTGTTACCACATTGTTCCAGATTCTTAATACCTAGATATTTGTAATCGTTGCCCAAATGGTGTCCCCGCCTTCAGGTTCTCTTCTCTTCCTCTCAAGCCACCCTCCGTGCAGATGCTAGTGTCTGATTTTCTTTGCATGTAGCAAGAACTAAGAAAATGTGAATGAATTAATGAATGAATGAATGAAAATAATTCTAAAGTTACGTAATCACTACGGCCCTCACAAAGATTTTTTTAAGTGATGAATTATTTTTTTAAAAAACTTATGCATAAAAAAAAAATACTATTCTACCTGAGCCAAGAAGCCTTGGCAAGGGATGGGGTCTGGGGCAGGCAGTGGAGATCATTTTCAGATCTCTCTGACTGAAAAAAAAAAAAAGCCAACTTTTCTTAAAACTCAGACATTAAGGGGGGACTTGAAGCTGCAAACACACACACACACACACACACATTTTCTAAAATTTAATTTGCTCAATAGCATTTTGTGGTCCACTCTTTACAGAAAACTAGAAATTATATGGAAGTAGATGTTTATTCACGTCATAAATGGTGAAAGCCTAACACATGGTGGTTGGACTGTAAGCAGCCAGTTAAGATACTAAAATGCCAGTAATATCTGTGAATTCAGCTTGTTCCTGCCGCTAGGTGACAGACACCAATTTAGACCATCAGTGATTTTAAAAAAATCACTTAATTCCCGAGTCTCGATTTCCCATAAGGTAAAAATGCATCAAAATTATGATTATTTTACAGTGCATTTTTATTTTATTATTGAAATCGTTTTCTCTACACAATTATTCTATTGGAAAAAAGCATGTTTATATTTTTATTACTATGCTTTCATTTATAATTTAGCAGTTATGGTTTGTGTGAAGTATATCAATTTAGGAATTGTTTAATGCTTCCTGTAATGGCTCCGTCACTCTATTTTCATTTCTAGTAGATATTTGAAGTTGATATTTAGTTTTTAAATTCATTTAGAACAATATCAGCATAGTTTGAAAAAGACTCTTTAGGAGCCAACCTGAGCTGGATAATTTAGAAAAAATTCAAAATGCTAAAATCACATAAAAAGAAATCTTGTGAAATGGAAATGAACCAAGCTTTTGATTTTTCCTATGGGAAATAATCTTAACTTTATGAAAAAGTGATATTGCCAGTGATGCTTCGGGTGACAGTTTCAGGAGAAGTTCCCTAAAAAGAATCTGTAAGATTTAAGAAGTCTTGACTACAAGCAGAGAACTGTTGTGGTCAGTGTGAACTCAGTAATCAGCGCGGTCCCTGTTTACATCTGCTTATGATATATTACTTCTTCAAGTTAGTAAAAAATCAGAGCCTCAGAATCATCTTGGCAGCTGTGCAACACTTGACCCCCTTTGTGGTGACGAATTATGAGATGGCATTAACTGCAAATTTTTCTTTTTCAAACAAGAAACTTTACCCCCTGTCCCTGCAGACTGCTGTGGACCAGCGGGCTTCAGTGGTGGGTCAGGAGGGGCCTTTCGTCTTTATTGTGTGCTTCTCTCTGGAACCTTTACGTCAGCTTTTGTTACTTGCAGAATTTGGGGTGATTTATTTTCTGAACCTTGTTTTCATCATTGTTGATAATAGTCAGACATTGTCTTTAACTCAGGATCACCATGTTTAAGACATGAGTTTTCTGTAAAGGGCCAGGTAGTGAAGATGATAGCTTTTGTGGCCACATGGCCTCTGCATCAACTCTTAGGTCTACAGTTATAGTGAAACACAGCTCTAAATAATACATAAACAAACGTGTGTGGGTGTGGTCCAATAAAACTTTACCGAAACATGCAGCAGGAAGAAACGGGCCACGGTGTGCTGGCCCCTGATCTAAGGGAGTATCTTTGTGTGGGAACAGGTAGAGAAGAGGTGCAAAGGACTTCAGAAATCTCAGCCGCTCGTGATGTATAATGCGTTAGGTTTCAGTGGCTCAAAAAAATAAATATTACAATTAAATGATGTGCCATAGAAACCCAGATATGCTTTCACTGGTTGCTTTTATAATAAGTCACAGTTTGTTGACTGAACAATTCCTTTAGTCAACAAGCATCCACTGACCAACAGTCTGTCGGCAACAGGTATGCTATAAAGTATACTTAAGCCCTGATCCTAGGACCTGCACGTTTGGAGAGAGGACATATCTCGGGCTTTCACATTAAAGAATAGGCTCTGAGATGAGTTTTAGTTTTTCCCCACCACGCCAGCCTTTGACATGGGCTGCAACATCCAACACTGATACCTCCTAACTCTGTCCAGGGAAAGGCAGACGCTGATTTTGAACTCTCCTGTGTTCTCATCGTATCACTCCGCCCAAAGAGCTTTACTTAAGAAAAAGAGACCCAAGATACCAGTGCACTGTGTCATACTTCTTTATTTTGAGGTTAGGGGAGGGTTGGGTTTCAATTCCTGTATCTCATTGCAGTAACAATCTGACCAACCATCACATTTCCCCTGGGGAGACAGCTGAGCTAGATAAATATATTTTAAAATCCACTCTTTAAAACATGCTTCCGGAGAAGAGGTATGAAAGGAAACTAGCAGCAATTCAAACATTCTTCCAGCCTACCACTGTGATTCTGCTCCAAAAAATTAATATACAGGTGTTTTGGGAACATTCCATTCATATTTCTAACAGAGTTCAAGCAATATTTCTAATTAAATTTAGTAACAACTTCTAACAGCTGGTTATATAACAGGAATTATTGAAGTTCTAAGGTTTGAATTTGTGACCTGGTGGTATAAAAACTTACCCAGTGAGGAAAACAAATTATTGTTTTTTAATTTGAAGAGAAGAATAATGAAGATTTCATGGACTATGAATCTGTGACACTAGAAGTCGTAGTAATTCAGTAAACTACTTGAACTAGGAGTTCCTTGGAAGATGTAGTAATTAACATTTTAAAACAGTAGGATTTACTGTACTTGAACTTTCTGTAACCAGTAACTTTTGTGACGATGATTATTGGCAGTTTAGGCCTTTTGTTTTGACCAAATATGTGTGCATCTTCCTAGGAAAATCTTCATAATATTTCCTAGTTGAGACTTTCTGTATTCACTTTATTCCATAGTAGCATGTTAAAATGTTTCAGAATTCTTCCACATTGGTAAGATACCGTATGTAGTAAAGTATACACCCCATAAAACTACCATCAAAGTAAAACATTGAAGTTACCAGGTTCCAGCATTCCTTAGAATACTAAGTCGTAACTTTTGTATATGAAAGCAAGCTTGTGCCTATGGATATTGACTTTTAATAGATGAAGGTGGGGACATAGCTCAATAGCTATGCTGTTAAAATTGGCTTCTGTGTAGGAATGATCGCACATTTTTGATGTATTGGGGTGTCTAATGCCTTTGAACATGACTTAAGAGGCCAGCAACGACTATGCAAGGGAGAGGAAATTAGTATTGGCCATAGATTCAGCTCTAGCATTAAGCCGAAGTGCGACGTCCATGGGTCTGAATGTGAGGTTGCAGTTTCTAATACAGCCTGGGATGTGTGGGAGGAGGATGCCGTGTGCTCCCCGAGGGAGAGATCTTACCCGGCTGCTGTGTCCTCCCCAGGATCTGTCACTGCGAAGGGGATGAGGGGAGTCCGCTCATCACGCCCTGCCGCTGCACGGGCACCCTGCGCTTCGTGCACCAGGCCTGCCTCCACCAGTGGATCAAAAGCTCCGACACGCGCTGCTGTGAGCTGTGCAAGTACGACTTCATCATGGAGACCAAGCTCAAGCCCCTCCGCAAGGTAGGGTGTCGCTGGGACTGGTGTGAGAGAGACAGCCGGCAAAGCAGGCATTTTGTTAATTGAAGTAGAGTGGACTTCAGTAAAAATGTACAATGTTGTGTTAGTTTCAGGTGTACAGCAAAGTGATTCAGTTACACGCACATATCAAAAACCCATTTCTTTTCTGCAATAAGAGTTTGCTAACATGCTAGTATCCGCTAAGAATACACATCTTGGGTTGGGCTCAATATGTAAAATGCAGCCAAGTGTTTACAGATAATCCTCCCTACTTCTGTTTTAGGGTCTAGGACCTGTGGTTTTTGTTTCACTCTTCAAAGTCAAAGAAAAGCATTTGCATGTGTGTGCGCGTGTGTATGTAAGTGTGTGCATGTGTGCATATGTGTGTGTGTGTGTGTGTGTGCGCAAAATATACCTGTGGGTCAAGGTAATTGAATTGATGAGAACTGTGAGAACATTGCATTGATACTTACTGAAGTCACTTCCCGAGAAGGTTAGATAATAGATCCCATAGATTAAACAATATGAACTCACCTAATTTCTTGAAAGTCAGGCATTAGGTAATGGAAGAGAATGATGTCTTCTACAAGGCGTGGACTCTTTTTTGTGTTTGCCTTTATCTGGGGATTTGGTTTGATAGTTTATGTATTATTTTTACTTTTTCATGTATTATTTTTCCATATTGTGCATCAAGCTGCAAGAGAGAGGTAAGTATTTTTATCTATAAATTTAATCTTCAGATTTCTCATATGTGTTATATTTTTCTAAAGAATGAAGGTAAGAATTGAGTTGAATATAAAGTTAGCATCTAAATCAATGCTGACCGAGGATAGCTTGTAAAGGATGCAAACGAAGACATGAACTTTATATACTTCATGCATGATAGCTGGGACCCTGGATTTTAGCATGTTAACTTATCTTTTAGCCTAACTGAAGCCTTACGTATACGGATGCCTCAATTTCCAAAGGAGAGTATGGAAACGGCAACTTAAATAATGAATCTGCCTAGAGCTGCTTTTTCATTTAAATTTCATGCAAAGAAAAAATGAATTAAGGTGATGAGTTCCAGGGTGAGCAGAGATGTAAAGCAAACAAGAATATTCCAATAGACCTCTGATTGGTGGCTGGCCATTGCAAATCTTCATGCATTCTGTAAATTACAGCGAGGGAGAACAACAGTCCCTGCTTTTGTGACAGCCTTGATTTTTAAAATCTGCCAGTGGTTTATAGATGTCAAAACTGGTGCATAAAACACCTTTGAGTTATGGATTTTTTAAACATGTGGGGTGACCTGAGTGCCAAAAGGTGACACTCTGATCCTCCAAGTCCCAAAGCAACAGATGCCAGAAATAGAAACGGACCCTACCTCCTTGCCCTTTGCTTTATCCGCTGAAGGATGCTGTGTGCTCTCTGCAGCCGCTACATGACATATTGTGCTCTGTGGTTCTGTAAATTTCTCTTCTTACCCCTCAGGGAAGTACCAATTGTTTCATAACATCTGTACAGTTCTCCATTTTTTTCAACCTACATCTGTATAAAATTTTCATTTCCACTTTTCAAACATAGTATTTCAATATGAGAACAACAATCTAGGATAATAAAATATTCTAATTTTCTCTTCTTCATACTGTGTGCCCCTCCCCCATTTTTGTGTCATAAACAGTACATGATGCTGTATGGACCTTGGAAAGTCTTCTACCTTCAGCTTTTCTAGAATCACCCCTGACATACAGCTTTGATCCTTTCTTAGTATTCCATTCCCAATAAGTTACAATCCTTTCAAAAGATCTTTTTTTTCCTCAACCAACCTGTTTACAAACCAGAGAAAGACTACGAATACATCGATTTTTTTAATCTTAAACTCAGCCATAAAAAGGAACAAAATTGTGCCATTTGCAGAGACGTGGATAGACCTAGAGACTGTCCTACAGAGTGAAGTAAGTCAGAAAGATAAAAACGAATATTGTATAATATTGCTTATATGTGGAGTCTAGAAAAATGGCACAGATGAACTTATTTGCAAAGCAGAAATAGAGACACAGACGTAGAGAACAAACTTAGGGATACCAAGGGGGGAAGGGGGGGTGGGATGAACTGGGAGATTGTGATTGACACATATACACAACTATGTATAAAATAGATAGCCAATGAGAACCTGCTGTATAGCACAGGAAACTCTACTCAGTCCTCTGTCATGACCTAAATGGGAATGAAATCCAAAAAAGAGTGGATATACGTATACGTATAACCAATTCACTTTGCTGCACAGCAGAAACTAACACAACATTGTAAAGCAACTATACTCCAATAAAAATTTTAAAATATATATATTGCAGCAACCTAGTGGGCACATCCTATCTGTTGATTAATGAAATACCCTAGTTTCTTTTCACAGGTGTTTCCTTTGATTGGTCATAAGTACTGATGAAGGGCAGCATGTCGACATCCTTCATTTTTTTTTTTTTTTTTTTTTTTTTTTTTGTGATACGGGGGCCTCTCACTGTTGTGGCCTCTCCTGTTGCGGAGCACAGGCTCCAGACACGCAGGCTCAGCAGCCATGGCTCACGGGCCCAGCCGCTCCGCGGCACGTGGGATCTTCCCAGACCAGGGCACGAACCCGTGTCCCCTGCATCGGCAGGCGGACTCTCAACCACTGCGCCACCAGGGAAGCCCAACATCCTTCATTTTTAATAGCATATATACCTACAGAGGATGTCAGAATCTAATCCAGAGGCTGCTTGCCAGCAGCCCACAGATGTGTTTTACTTGACCCACAGGGCTGAAAATTTGAATCTGTAATGATTTCATGTAAAATCCCACACATCTGTATTTGTTTGAAAACCACTGTATCTAGCTTGACAGGAACCACATATGTAAGACAACATCCAGTGTAGCTAGCGGGAGGCTGGCCCCTTTGTAAAGCTGTTTGCCCTCAAGGGCCCTGCATTTCTCAGTCCTCCTTCTTTCTGTTCCTGAGAGATCTCCTCTCATTTGAGCATGAGATCTCAGTGATCTCTGAGCATCAGATCTCTCTGTGGCTCTGGTATACAGATCTGAATTTTCAGCTCCTGGTCTAACATGGTCTAACACAGTCCTAGACATAAGAAACATACATGCTATTCCTACCTCTATGATTTATGGGCTTTAAAAACCTAGAAAAAAGGATTCCACACTTTCACTTTCTCCCTTAAAATTATGGGGCCCTGTGGTAATACTTCAATGGCAGTATCTGAAATGACTTTTCAGATTTTGAAGTGATGTGAACTATACAGACATGAGGCATATTTAAACGGTTCTGGATGGTTTATTTTCATGGCACTGAGATTCATCAACAGTTTTCTTTTGGTAGTTTTCAAGTGGTCATTAAGAATGACAGGTATAGCGTTTAATTAGAGTATATTCAAAGTACATCTAATTAATTGCTCTCAACTCAGTAATTCTATTACAGTTTATAACATTCTAAAGATCAACCACATGAAACAATTAATTTAGCTAATGATTCTGAATTTCTGTCATTAGCCAATGGAGGCAGGAGATTCTGTGGAGATGAAATGGTTTCTTGAAGTAGAAAGGTACAAATCTTCATAGCCTGACAAACCTTGGGGCTTAATAGCCTCTAAAGATATCAGTGAAAGCTTACTTCATTAATTGCTACTATTACTACACCAAAATCTAAGTTAGTGAATTCATCAAGGTATCCTAATGTTTCCAGAAGAAAATTTAGAGCCTAAATAAAAGCAAGGCCTTATTTGAGAAAAAGCAGTTTTCATCACCTTGAAGTCGGTGGCTCAGCTACTTTTATAACACTCAACAGAAGTCTCATTAATCTACTGAGTGACCAAGAATCAGAAATAATCCTCAGGGCCCAGAAAAGCCAACAATGCAGAAAGCACAGCAACGACTAAGTGCTGTCTGCAACTGCATGCAGTCTCAGGACGAGGAAACTAATCTGTTCTGAAGCTGAAGAACTGCATGGGGCTCAGAGCTGAATCTCACTCCTGAATGGCAGAAACCAGCTACTGGACAGAAAGCTAAGCTTAATGAGGACAGAGAATACTCCTGACACTGTGTGTCCTTCCCTAAAAGAGTTCTCTATATGGTTTTCCATTTACAAACTATTTGACAAATAGATCATACAAAATATGCAAATCCATGCATCAGTTCCTTGTCTCATTTCTACAAATAAAATGGGGCAGTGAATCAATTCAATTACGTTTGCTTTAGTAGCAGTTAGGTCAAACCATATAAACTTCTCATTTTTATAGATCAAAAACAGTTGAAGATTGGTAAGTTCATAAATGTAAGTTCTGTAGAACTTATTATGCTAAATAAAAAGGAATAATCATTTCGATATTTTAAATTTTATTTTATTGGAGGATAGTTGATTTACAATGTTGCGTTGATTTTTGCTGTTCAGCAAAGTAATTCAGCTATACGTATATATACATTTTTATTCATGTTCTTCTCCATGATGGTTTATCACAGGATATTGAATATAGCTCCCTGTGCAATACAGCATTTTTGTATTTCTACATTTCCATCATAGTGACTTATAATGCTTTAGTTGAAATACCTATTTTCAGAAAATAAAGAACTGTATTTAACAACTACTGTGTTATTTTTTTCCTTTCCTTAATTTGAGGTAGCATCCATCTTTCAGAATAGCCAAGAGCCAATGCAAGTTAGCATAGCAGGTGAGCCACCCCAAGGGTGTTACTGATTCTCTGCTGAGCTGGAGCTCTTGCAGTTCGTAGCCTTAACATTGGACCAGGCAGGGTGCAGTCAGATTCCTAGCCAGCAGCTTCTAGCACCCTATTGAATAATCATACATAATAATACAGAAAGGAAATTCAAAATGCATCCTTTACTTATCAGTATGGGTGATTTGCAGTTTCACTAATGCAACCACCACAGACTGAATTTTCTGCTCTGTGCCAGGCATTTGGAATGTATTTCTCAATTAATTTCATCTCGTTACAGCCCCATTGTGTGTAGGCACGTGA